TTAACCCTTGTCCTGCGGGGGCTGGGTTTATGTTGCCTGATAAGCCTATTTCGGCACCTCACCTGCGTTCTGGTCCCACGCCAGTCTGGCCCCTGGCTCAGCGCACACGCGTCGAGCATCTTCTCCCGTTCATTTCGGGTCCGGCGTCGGACCCCCATTCACGCAGGTCAAGTGTGTGTGCGTCAGTCTGCTTGAGTTTGTTTGCGTTTGTGGCCTTCTTCTAGAGCCACCTGCGTTGGTTCGTAATCGAGGCATGCGTCTCATTCAAAACACGCCAAATTGGTTGCTCTAGATGTTCGTCAAATGAAATTATAGAACAAAGTGACCCACTTAGACATGAGGAGCTCGAAAGGATAGTCAGGAAACAAGACTTCCATTTTTCTATACGAAATCTTTCAAATGAGCTTGATTTTGTATGAAATGATACTACCTGATAAAAAATGAGCTTGTTTGATAGTTTTAAATACCATTGTGCAGGTAAAAAGAACAATTTGAGAGAAAAACATTCGGAAATTGACCTATATTATCCCCTTTCGAACCCCAGATCATTCATAACAACAAGAGGGTCTAGAAAGGTTATTCGAATGGGCATAACTACTTGTAATGTCTTATCAGCTTGTGAGAGGGGATTATTCGTGTGTTTTCTAACACTTTATAAATAGAAAGCTACGAAAGATAGAGCGTTATTTTCAACATCGATTAACTCACTCCCACGGTATTCATGGCGAAAACACGTTTCCCCGTCGCACGTGCTGTACACCAATAGTACACACAAAGTGACCCCGGCGGCCTGCCGGGAACGTCCGACATAATCGGTCGCTGATAAGATTCGCATCTCAGCACAGACGCAGTACAAAAGTTACCGACCATCGTTCTGAGCAAATTTTTAAAATATTTCCCACCTGCCCCACCCCCTTTCACAGAGTGCGTGACTTAAGTGACCCCGCCCTCAAGTTCAAGGTGGAGACGAACGCCTCTCAGCTGTACATGACCGGGATGACCATCCTGTACAAGGACTGCAACGTGGTGGTGGTGGAGGGAGGTGAGTACAGGGCACCTGCGTGCGTGTGTGCATACTTTACTTTACTTTTACTTTTATCTGCTGCTTATACCCTTTTGGGTGTTGCGAGAAGAAAGAGATGTCTCTCTGTCGCTAGCCGGAGAGCTTGGGTCGGGGGGATGCCGTGAGTTGTTAGTGTTTCCCTGACTCAATCTATCCAGGTCTTTCCCGGTCACCCTCTAGCCCTGTTGCCATCGAAGTTTTTGATGTAGGCACGTTGTGCTGGATGGTGTGTTGGTAATCGTAGGAGATGTCCGAATCTTTTGATTTCTTGGTGTTGGATGTGATGCGTGACATCATTGATTGTGCCCACCATTTCTCTGATTATTGAGTTTCTAATTTTGCCTTGCCTGATCTTGTTTACTGCTTTTCTGACTGACACATTGCATTTCACATGCGTGCATGCCATGGGTAAAAGTTTGCCGGCTGTAGCTGGAAATTCCGGCAAGAGAAAGTCAGTTACCCCCCGGGGTAGTGCCACTGACTGTAGTGTCTTTAGGCCATTCTCAAAAGGGGGACATTTCTCGTTCAAGCACAGTAGAATTTTAAATGGGCTGATTCATCATGTCACACTCATAACTGTGCCTGATCTACAACAGGGAAATGCTGCTTTTTCTTTCCTGATCCTTACTATTGTCATTTTCCTCTACTTCTTAAGTATGTTTGTCACACTCTTGTGACTTTCTATTTCCGGGGTGCCTTGATAGTCGAAGCAGACCTTGTGCTGTTGAAGCTAGAGAGGTGAGCAGAGTATTCATATGACCTAATGCAGTTGCGAGCGACGTAAAACCCTCTACTAATAAATAAAATAAAATAGAAAGTCAGTCGGCATCACTGTGCCAGCAGCCAGCGACGGCCGTCCTTGACTGGACTAGTGCTGATCTTGTGAAACACTGTAATTTTTTCAGGGTTTGCAGATTGACCTTTCGGGTGGTTGTAGGATGCCATGGGTAGGCTGTATTAATAATAATAAATAATAATAAATAGTATTTGTATAGCGCATGTCCCCGCTCGAAAGCAAGCTCTATGCATGCGCTTTACAGTATATTATTACCCCAGCAGACCACAGAACACTCAGAGACATTCTCGGCTTCCTGGGAAGCGTACTGTGCAAGCAGCTGTTTAAACGTTCAAACACTAACAGACTGACTAGATCTTTCACTGTCTATTATTACTTCTTTACTTCCCCGTCTGTTGTTTCTGTCCGTCTGTCTTACTTTCCCCCAGCACTAAATGACCACCATTGTGTCGATGTGCTTCTCTTTACTCAAAACAAACAAAAGTCTGACCTTGGCTATGGTTTTAGAACAAAACAAACAATTGACCTATTTCCTCCCTTCGCCAGGTCCAAAGCAACAACGCAAGTTCCGTCGGCTGATGCTGCATCGTATAAAGTGGGCGGAGTCACATCGAAGGACAAAAGACGCAGGTACGGAAATGTCATAGTCCTGAAATAGAACTGTCAAGTGTCGAAAACTTAAAAATAATAGTATTGTGTCGATGTGCTTCTCTTTTCTCAAGTGGGTGGTTGGCGGGTGCTCTGGTGTGGTTTGCTTCTTCTTTCCTATCTAATGTCTATCGTCCTGATCTCTCCTCCTCCTTCTATTTTGTGTTTGTTACTCTCTTGTAACACCTCTAATCTTCGGCACTTATATGACCTTATTTTGTTGCAAGTGCCGTAAAACTCTTACTAAAACTAAACATCTTTTCTCAAACAAACCACTGGTAGGTCCTACTTCTTTACTTTCCCTCTGGTGCTTCTGTCTGTCTGTCTTAATTTTTCCCCCAGCACTAAATGACAATTGTTGTGTCGATGTGCTTCTCTTTACTCAAACAAACAGACCACTGGTAGGTCCTACTTGTTTACTTTCCCTCTCTGTTGTTTCTGTTTGTCTGTCTGTCTGTCTGTCTGTCTGTCTTACTTTTTCCCAGCACTAAATGATCATCGTTGTTTTGATGTGTTTCTCTTTACTCAAACAAACAAACCACTGGTAGGTCCTACTACTTCCTACTTCTTTACTTTCCCTCAGTTGTGTCTGTCTGTTTCTTTAAAATGTTTACTACAGGACTAAGATTATCGTCCTCTGTCTGTGGGTGGTTGGAGGGCGTCACTGGTAGGTCCTACGTCTTTATTTTCATTCTGTTGTTTCTGTGTGTCTGTCTGTCTTACTTTTTCCCAGCACTAAATGACCGTTATTGTGTTGATGTGTTTCTCTTTACTCAAACAAACAAACAAACAAACAAACTAGCGTATTAAAATAACACTTTGTGTCGACGTGCTTCTCTTCACTCTATTAACCGATTCTCTCTCTCTCTCTCGCTCTCCAGAAGACTCAGATGAGGAAGGCAGCGTAGACAAAACCAACAGATGTGTTCTGGTGTGGGAGGTAGGTCGCCAGCGCCGGTAGCTGAGATAGTGTCATGCCAGGCTATCGTGCAGAGGACCTGGGTTCAGATTTCCAACAGGGCGGGGTGTTTTTGCTTGTTTTTTTATTTCTCGTTTGTTTTTTTCTATAGGGTGCCAATTGTCCAGTTAACCCTGAAATGTGGGTAGTTGGCGGGTGCTCTGGTGTGGTTTGCTTCCTTTTTCCTATCAAACATCTATCGTCTTTATCTCCCCTCCTTCTTTTTTGTGTTTATTACTCACTTGTAACACCTCTAATCTTCGGTACTTATATGACCTTATTGTGTTGCAAGTGCCGTAAAACACTTACTAAACTACATACTTTAGTCAAACAAGACCCCAGTGCGACTCTGACGTATTGTTGACTGGATATATTTTACACGTGTGTGTGTATGTATGTGTGTGTGTGTGTATGTGTGTGTTGTTATGTAACATGGGCCTGGAAATGGATGACCCCCTGGAAAATTGAGAAGCCGGTTTGGCAGTCACCCTGTGTGTACACATTAGGTCTAAATCTACCCCCCCCCCTCCCCCTCCCACCACCACCAGGGCAGTGCTACTGACTGAAGCGTCTTTAGGCCATTTTCAAAGGGTGGATATTAACATGTTCTTATGCACAGTAGAATTTGTAAATTGTCTGATTTATCAATGTCATGCTCATACTGTGTCGGAACAACATAGGGGGAACTGCTGCTTTTTCTGTCCTCTTCTTTACTATCGTCGTTTTCCTCTACTTCTTTTGTATGTTTGTCACTCTTGTGAGCAACTATTTCCGGGGTACCTTGATAGTTGAAGCAGACTTTGTGCTGTTGAGGCAAGAGAGGTTAGCAGGGTAAGCCTGATTCCCCGTTTGGACTTCTCTGTTGACATCCACCCCCTTGTCGCTCATATAACCTAACCTATGCAGTTGCGAGCGCCGTAAAAATCTTACTAAAACTAAATTTAGCGGCGAGCAAGCTTGCGATCGTCTGTCTATCCTCCATTTTGTCGGCTGGACTTTGTTGCGTATTATTTTTGTTCCATATATATTATATATAATGATAATATGTGTTATTGATGGCGCAAGTGAGCTCCCTTTTTCAAGCTGGTGTGGGGCTTGATTTGCTGGGTAGTACATTTTTTTACCTGGTAGTAAATTTTTTCAGGAAATATTGCTGGACATTCTGCTATAGGTAGGGCAATTCCCACTTTTGGTGTGGGTCAAGATTCCTGGAAGCCCTCAAAATCTGGGTTAGCCTGCTTGTCCATAAAAGCGACCAATTTCCCTACTTGTGTGAAAAAATTGAAGTGAAACTGACTATTTTTTATAGTAAATTAGATTTCAAATTACGAAATTATTCTATTTTGAAACGGTTATTCTGACAAAAAAAACTCTTTTTCTGTAAACTGCTGTGAAGAAAAAAAGGGAGTTTTGTCAGCCTAGTATAGGCGGGTAGGTGGATACTCTGGTGTGGTTTGCTTTCTTTTTTTTAATCAGTGGGTGGTTGGCGGGTGCTCTGGTGTGGTTTGCTTCTTCTTTCCTATCAAACATCTATCGTCCTTATCTCCCCTTCTTTTTAAAAATTTTGTTACTCTCTTGTAGCATTTCTAATCTTCTGGTGCTCATATGACCTTATACATTTGCAAGCGCTGTAAAACCTCTACTAAAACTTTTTTTAAACATTTTTTTAGTCAAATATCTATTGTCCTGATCGGTCCTCCTAATGTCTTTTTTTATGTTTGTCTCTCTAGGGTACAGTCAAGACAAGAGCCTGTGGAGAGATGAAGTTCAGGAACTGTCCGACGGAGACGTTTGCCCGGGAACAGATGAAGAAACAGGGAGTGGAGCACTACTGGGATCTGGCTTATTCAGGGGCTGTGTTGGAGACTGCTGGGGAGGAGGATAGCTAGTGTGTGTGTGTGTGTGAGGGAGAGAGAGAAAGAGAGAGAGAGAGATGAGAACAGATGAAGAAACAGGGAGTGGAACACTGCTATTGTACCTGTGTGTGTTGTGTTGTGGAGACCAGACGGTGAGGGAGAAAGACGGCAAGAGTGTGTGTTCACTTGTATTATGTTTGTTTGAGTGGGTGATGGAGACAGCGGGGAGGAGTTAAGTAGGACAGCTTTTTCGTTTGTTTGAGGATCTGACTGGTTTGTTTGTTCGTAATTCATGGGTCTGTGTAGGTCATGGGGACGGCAGACGGGGAGTGGCATGGGTTAAAGTTTGCCGACTGTGGGTGGAAATCTGGAGAGAGAAAGCTAGCAGGCATCCTGGTGCCGGCAGCCAACGACGGCCGTCCTTCACTGGACTAGCGTCGATCTTGTGAAGCAAAGGTTTGTTTCATTTACCTGACAACTGTCTAAAAAAAGTCAGACTTTTTAACTCCGATGCCCGAGTTTGAGCATAAATTGACTGTTGGGGGGGGATTCGATTATCCTTTTCAGGCAAAGCCCCTTGAGATGCTGTGAGTTTGAAAGTTTTCAGGCACAATGGTTGTGACCAACTTTTACCCATGGGGAGTGGGGGTGGGGGAGAATACACTTATGTTAAAATGTAGATCTGTTTGGTTTGTCTGTCTCTCTGGGTAATGGAGGCTGCATTGGGGGGGAAAAACACACTAATGTTTGAACGTCGGTCTGGTTTTGGTTTGTTTGCTTGTCTGTCTGCCCCAGCGGACCCTAGTGGTGGCTTGAAAGTACAGGAAGAAAAGACAGCTACTCTTTGTTTGTGTGTGCCTGCGTGCGTGAGTGTGTGTGTGTGTGCGAGTGGGAGTTGATTTTCATGACTGCCAGCAGGGAGATTTACGGTTTCTTTCAGTGGCAGTTTTTGTCACGTGGCACAATAATGGCCACGCATTTGCCGTGTACAGATCAGATCTGTTCGGTGTCTCGTCGTCAAGTGCCAAGCCTGCGACAGACATCGGGCTATCATGGTTCTCCATCCATTCCTCTGCTCTGACGCTCTTTAAAAAAGTTATTTTTGAAAAATAAAATTTTAAAAAGCTACTTTATCCTCAAACTTTCCCCGTCGTCCATCTGTTTGAGCTCTCTAAGTAGGTCTGTATGGGTCTACTCTACCTACACTGAAAATAGAAGTATAAGGGGCAGACCATGCAAGAGTACCCGCCAGCCACCCTGCTGTTAGTGTTGAAGAGGAAGGTGGCGGTTTCATTGTGTGTCTATGTGTGCGTCGTCGTCCGGTTTGAGAGATTACTGACGGCTGGCGTGCGATGTTTCAATTTCAAAGCACCCCAAGTCGTCCTTGGATAAACGTATGGTTTTTTGTGGAACATAGATTATAATATTATAAAGAATTTTTATATTATAAAGAATTTAATGTTTTTTTTATATGATGTTCATTATTATCTACATTATTAGTTTGTTAGTTTGGTAAGATGACAGTTATTATTCTCATTATTGTTCTTGTCATAATTTAGGTTTTGATGTTTGTTGGCGGGTGCTCTGGTGTAGTTTGCTCCTTCTTTCCTGTCGGACATCTATCGTCTTTATCTTTCTTCCTTTTCTTTTTCTGTGTTTGTTACTGTTACGAGGGCTGTCCCACGGAAAACCGGAATTTGGCTGTAATTTGAAAACCATTCAATATTTTCACATTCTGTAAACGCACACTTGTAAAACAATCATTTAGGAATTTCTCGATTGAGCACCATGAGCATCGCACGAACCAAACGAATACAGCAGTTCTCCAAAGAAGGCTACCCACTTGGAAAATTGGTCAAGGGTAGAAGTGAGGTCTGTCTTTCGGTTTCTGGCCGCAAAATGTCTCAAACCTGTAGAAATACACACTGAAATAAAGTCAGTTTATGGGGAGAAAGTAATGGCATAATCACAGGTAAATGAGTGATGTAGTAAGTTCAAAGCCAGGCACACAGATATCAATGACAAAGTTTACCCAGGACCTTGTTTTTCTGCCAAGACTGAGAACAACAAAAGTTGCGTTAACGAACTCATTCAACAGACAGGCGCCTAAACATTCGCAAAATTTGCGAGTCGCTAAACATTTTAAGTCGACTGTCCATAGGTTAGTATTTGATGAGCTGACTATTGAAATGTATCTGCTCGATGGGTCTTAAAAGAGCCGAAAAAGACCAGTGGGGTCATTTTGCAACATGACTACGCAACGCCTCACACCGCAAAAGCTACGAAAGACTGGATCCAAAGGTTGGGCTGGGAAGTTCTACCACACCCCCCTCACAGTCCTGACTTGGCCCCGTCAAATTATCAGCTTTTTGAACCAATGAAACGCCATATTTCTGGACAGCGATTCACCGACGACGAAGACCTCGTGGAAGCCGTGAGAGATTGGTTGAAATCCCTTGACGAAAAATTCTTCAGGGAGGGTATCTTCTCCCAGATCCAGCCTAGGTAAAAATGAGTCCAGCGGGATGGTGATTACATTGAGATGTGAAGCACATGTTGAGGTATGATATGTTACATTTTTATCATAATAGGACAAAGATTTTTGCTTATACGGACTTTTTCCGGTTTTCCGTGGGACAGCCCTCGTATAAGACCTCTAACCTCTAATAAGCTGTTGCGAGCGCCGTAACACCCCATACTACCATACCATAACCTCTAATATTTGGTACTTATATGACCTGTTTCTGTTGCAAGTGCCACGAAACTCGCCAACTGTAGGTTGTGCATCTAGAATTACCATCGCCCCAGATGTTCCTGTCTGTCCGTCTGTTGATCTGTTTGTCTGTCTTTTTCTCACTAGCTCAAAGTGGCCATATTTGTTTTGATCCATTTATTTTTGTGCACAACTATACGTTGTACATTATCTCTTTCGTGCATTGTAGCGCCAACTATTGACATTACATGTATTTTAAAAGAAGAAGAGGATGATTAACATCTGTGCGTGCGTGCGTGCGTGCGTGAGTCTGATTGGTTTATTTGTCAGGGAGAAAGGTGAGTGGGTGGTTGGCGGGTGCTCTGGTCTGGTTTGCTCCTTCTTTCCTATAAAAAATCTATCGTCTCTATCTCCCCTCCTTCTATATGTTTGTTACTCTCTTGTAACACCTCTAATCTTCGGCACTTAATAGTTATATGACCTTATTGTGCTACAAGGGCTGTAAAACTCTTATAAAAACTAAAAAGGAGAAAGGTGAGCGCATGGTTCTTCTGTATCATTTTTGGAGCAGGGTAAGGGGTGGTTGTTTCTTGTTGAGCTCGTGGGTGGTTTTGGAAGGTGCCCCAGGTAGTAAGTTCTATTTCTTTACTCTCCATTTGTTTTTGTTTTTTTCTGTCTTATCTTTTTTCCTAGCCTAGCGCTAAATATTGTCTATGGGTGGTTGGCGGGTGCTCTGGTGTGGTTTACTGTCTTCCTTTCAAACATCTATCGTCCTTATCTCCCCTCCTTCTTTTTTGTGTTTGTTACTCTCTTGTAACACCTCTAATCTTCGGCACTTATAATATGACCTTATTGTGTTGCAAGTGCCGTAAAACACTAACTAAAACTAAAAGAAAAAACATTTTCTGCTCAACAGAAGACTGTGTCATATGTCACTTTTCAAAATGGTGTATGGCAGAGACTTTCACAAAGCAGTTGATATTGGTCTTTTTGGGGGGGGGGGAGGGTCCATGCGGTTCTCTTTACCGAAACAAACACGTTGAGTTGAATTAATTATTCTTTTTCTTCCTTTTTTTAAAGGAAATGTTGAACTTTACTGTTTAAAAGAAAATTATTTTTTGTTTTTTTAAAGTCATTTGTATGGATTTTTTTTTTCTTTTAAAATTTATTTTACTTAAATCCATTCATGTCATGTGATGAAATGCGAAAGAACTCTGTTTTCTTGCGAAGTCATTCTGTTAGTTTGTAAATAGTTCCAACACAATGTACTTGTTTTTTGTTTTTTTCGTGTATCTGAACTGATTGTAATATATGAATAAAATATGGGGCCTATTGGTTCGATAGTCTGTCATGTGCCTGTGTGTTTGTTTTTTATCTGCTTTGTCTGTGTGTGAGTGGTTGGAGTGGAATTGGGGATGGGGCTGCCACTGGTAGGTCCTACTACTTCGTTATTATTTTTAAAAAGTTTTTGGTAACTGTTTTAGTTTTAGTACAGTACTGCCGTGCCAAGGCAGAGCGACGTATCTGCACTTTTTATGATATAGAGTTACGTAGTGCTGCCATTGGAAATATAGGCATGGCCCTTCACTTACGTCTGTTTGCCATAGTATAATGTCCTTTTTGTAGTGCAGATACGTCTTCCTGCCTTTGACACAAGATGCAGAATCTAGGCGTCCATTTAAACAAAGATGCAAAATTGAATCATTATGATTTTTGCAGATACGTCGGTCTGCCTTGGCACGCTTGGCGGGTGCTCTGGTGTGGTTTGCTCCTTCTTTCCTATCAAACATCTGTCGTCTTTATCTCCCCTCCTTCTTTTTTGTGTTTTTTACTCTCTTGTAACACCTCTAATCTTCAGGCGCTCATATTACCTAATTGTGTTGCAAGTGCCGTAAAATACTTACTAAAACAAAACTGTTTTAGTACAGTAGGGCTAACACCTCCACTACGTGTACTACTATACCTGTGTTTCCATGTATAATTTCTGTCTATTGGCCTTCCTACCACCTGCCTCAAAGTGATTTTTTTTTTTTTTTGGTCTTATGGTTTGGCCTCCTGTTACGAGAATGTCAGCCAGCCAGCCAGCTAGTCTTGAGAGCGTGGGTGGTTGGCGGATGCTCTTGGGTGGTTTGTTCCTTCTTTCCTATCAAACGTCTATCACCTTTACCTCCCCTCCTTCTCTGTGTTTGTTACTCTCTTGTACGTTGTAACACCTCTAATCTTCGGCACTTATATGACCTTGTTGTGTTGCAAGTGCCGTAAAACACTTATTAAAACAAAATTTTTTAAAAGCCTGTTACATCGAGTACTCAGGCTTTTAAGGAAGGGGTAGGCCA